GAGGCCGATGCCGACCCTGCCACAGTTGCAGCCGCTTCCGGACTGGCCCACTTTACCAGTGCTGGTGTGAACAGCGCAGCCACCATCATGGGTGTGTTTCATTTGCCTTCACATTTGTAGTAGTCATTGGCCTGGTACACAGCACACGCTCCTCTACAGCATTCTAACCATGGTGCAAGAAGAACCCATTTAGGTGATGATGCTATCCGCATTCCTGTGGAAGGAGTGCGTCCGCAAATGCTTTGCACCGAGATGTGGAGAGGGCTGCTTGTTACCGAGCAATCGCAAGCCACCGTTTTCGGGTGCCATCCAACTACGTCAGAAACAAGTGGCAAGCACGCATCAACCTTGGCCGCTAATTGGTTCTGTGTGCCTTGGCACCTTTCTTGAGTACTGAAAGATGGCGCCCTAATATGGAGGCAAGCTTATACAGCGCATGCCCAGCGGCGAACACAATCTGGACGGCCACCTAAATGGGTTCTTCGTACACCACAATTGTAACTCGAAGAGGGTCGGAAGATATAACACTGTTATCATTGTCTGTGCTTGTATTGCCACGCGCATCAACGCAAGCGGGCACATAGCCTAGTGGTCACCGTGCGCGGCTTCCACGAAGAAGACCGAGGTTCGAACCCGGGCAGCGGACACACTTTTTTTTTAACGTTCTTGTGAATTCGAGAACCTTCCCTCATGTTCATAATCAGAATGTCCTATGCGCCGAACTTTCTACGCCGATTGCTCGAAGGCCAGACATGTATAATAAGGGCTCTGTGTGACGAGCTGGAGTCGATCTTGCTCAAGCGCTTGACACTGCTGCTACGCCGACGCCTGCGGCGCTACTTATTATTTTGTTTTGGCACAAGTTCGCCTTATTAAACATTCAGTTTCTTTCGTTCTTTCTCGCCTCTTCATCAGTCATTCGTGACAGTATTAAAGAAATATCTACTCACGCATGCTATCCTTTCATTTCAAGAACTGTCCATGGCTAACAGCTGCAGAGATGACTTCAGCAACGAAGGTAATAGAAAGAATGTACTTTTTCCAATCTAAACTGTATTTTGTATGCTTGGTGGCTAGTGCATTTATTCTGTTGGATTGAAAGTGGTAGCAAAGCCTGACCTGAAGGGCATATCTAGCTTTGAGGCAGCTACGCTTGGGGGAAGGGGGGGGGGCTACGATTTGTGAATCATGTCAATTAATATGCCTCCGACGTAGAAATGCTCAAAAACTATACTCAGCTTCAGCAAGAACCTACAGTGCAAGCTACAAGTGCAAGCTCAGTGCTTGCACTTGTGTTTGGCTGCACTCTCACGCAGCAGAAACAAATGCCAAAACTTTAGTTTCACTATCGAAGCACATGCCAAGGCAACTAATTTGCATTTTTGATCTATGTTGTGCTTGTGTCCTTAGAAACATAGATAAGGCATTGATTCTCCATTTTATTTCAATGAGCAGTTTCATTCGCTGCAGATTGCCAGAGTCCTGGAGCTGAATGTGAGGCCGATGCCGACCCTGCCACAGTTGCAGCCGCTTCCGGACTGGCCCCCTTTACCAGTGCTGGTGTGAACAGCGCAGCCACCATCATGGGTGTGTTTCATTTGCCTTCACATTTGTAGTAGTCATTGGCCTGGTACACAGCACACGCTCCTCTACAGCATTCTAACCATGGTGCAAGAAGAACCCATTTAGGTGATGATGCTATCCGCATTCCTGTGGAAGGAGTGCATCCGCAAATGCTTTGCACCGAGATGTGGAGAGGGCTGCTTGTTACCGAGCAATCGCGAGCCACCGTTTTTGGGTGCCATCTAACTACGTCGGAAACAAGTGGCAAGCACGCACCAACCTTGGCCGCTAATCGGTTCTGTGTGCCTTGGCACCTTTCTTGAGTGCTGAAAGATGGCGCCCTAATATGGAGGCAAGCTTATACAGCGCATGCCCAGCGGCGAACACAATCTGGACGGCCACCTAAATGGGTTCTTTGTACACCGCAATTGTAACTCGAAGACGGTCGGAGGATATAACACTGTTATCATCGTCTGTGCTTGTATTGCCACGCGCATCAACGCAAGCGGGCACATAGCCTAGTGGTCACCGTGCGCGGCTTCCATGAAGAAGACCGAGGTTCGAACCCGGGCAGCGGACACACTTTTTTTTTTAACGTTCTTGTAAATTCGAGAACCTTCCCTCATGTTCATAATCAGAATGTCCTATGCACCTAACTTTCTACGCCGATTTGCTCGAAGGCCAGACATGTATAATAAGGGCTCTGTGTGACGAGCTGGAGCCAATCTTGCCCAAGCGCTTCACACTGCTGCTACGCCGACGCCTGCGGTGCTACTTATTTTGTTTTGGCACAAGTTCGCCTTATTAAACATTCAGTTTCTTTCGTTCTTTCTCGCCTCTTCACCAGTCATTCGTGACAGTATTAAAGAAATATCTACTCACACATGCTCTTTTCAAGATCGTTCCATGGCTAACAGCTGCAGAGATGACTGTACTTTTTCCAATCTTAAACTGTATTTTGTATGCTTGGTGATGGCATATGCATTTATTCTGTTTGATTGAAAGTGGTAGCATAGGCTGACCTGAAGGGCATTAAATGTAGTGAATTACATGCACCAGATATTCAAGATACTAGTGTAAAAATGCAATATTGCTTCTATTTGCACCATTTGTTCATGTAGAAAGGTAGCCGAGTAGACAGAGTGTTGCAGCTTCCCCATTTTTTACTCGACAATGGTAGGGAAAAGCAGGAACCTTTGTGAATTGTGCAGGCTTCTGCATTATCAAATGTGCATATTACCAATTGCCAACGTGAACAATTTCAGATGTTGAAGAGGAGCTGTGTCACCTCAAGCGAGATATCGGTGTTCAAGTGAACACATGGACTGAGGGGAGAAGACAACTGATTACCATCTCCACTGTTAAGGACGAACAGGCACTGTTAGTGCTAACGGGCATCTCGAGCTTGGAGCTGTTCTATAACATTGCCAATTTGTTCACCGACGCTCGGAGGAAACAGTCGAAGAGGAGCTTCTCACTTAGCAATGAGGATGTTATCCTGCTCGTCTTCACCAAACTTTACCACAATGTGTCTTTTTCGCTGCTGGCCGTCCTGTTTGACGTACACCGCACTACGGCGTCGAGTATTTTTAAGGAGGCCATTGTACTGCTAGCATCTGTGCTCGGGCATGCAATCTACTGGCCTGACAAGGACCACGTCACTGCATGCCTCACGAAGCACTTCGATAAATACCGCATGACAAGGATGGTCTTGGACTGCACAGAGATTGCAATTGAGCGACCAAAAGACCTGCCATCACAGATCTTAACGTACAGCATTTACAAAAAAACCTATACTGCTAAGATTTTGATTTGCACAACCCCTGGAGGCCTCATTAGCTATGTGAGCCGTGCCTACGGAGGTAGGACCTCCGACACACACATAACCCGGGAAAGCGAAGTTCTGACCAAATGTGAGCCCCACATTGACAAGGTCATGGTAGATAGGGGCTTTTTAATTGAAGACTTGTGCTATGAGCATGGGCTCGAGATGATCCGGCCACCTTTTCTTGGCCAGAAGAAGCAGCTGTCGCCTGGTGACGCAAAAAGAAATGCCAGCATTGCGAGTGCCAGAGTGCATGTAGAAAGAAGCATTCAGCGCATCAAACGCTTCAAGATCCTGCAGCAGCGGTTCCCACTTGATCTGCTTGCATACCTTGACAGCATTGTTACTACGCTTGCAGGAATTGTAAATATCTCGAAGCCACTGTTTGCAGACGACAAATATTTGTTTCCGTGAAAGCTGAGTTCCATGCCAGCGACACGTTTTCTTTTACTTTTAGCTTCTCAGTAACTTTTGCTCGAAATACAGTAATAACAATAAAGTTTGGCGTCAAGTTCTACTAGCTTTTTTTTTGTGCATGTTCAATGCCCAAGGCTCTAGTCATAGATACTGAATTGCAAATCGAAGAAAACGGGTGTAATCACTAATCCCATGATGGAGGCACGAAGCTTTCACTGATTGTGGGATTAAGGAACAATCGATTATGCTTGTACCAGTGGGAAATGAGTGACATGATCCTTTATCATAACATAGTCTAAAAGAACATAAGACACTTAAACAACTTGACATCATAAGTGAAGCTGAGCGTAAGAGGACCAAGAATTGATCACCTGGTCCTGTTAGCGGATGACAAGTCTAACAGCGTAAGTGAACCAGGTACATAATTCTAGACATGTACCATAAAAAATAATTTGCACAAGAGGTATATTTAACTCGTAAAACACCTTTGACAAATCAAAATAGTTTTCATCTACTTGTCCTCCACTCATAACATATAACTCACAGCAGTCTAAAACATTTTAAACAAAAAAGGCATCTGGGTGTACACAATTTTGAAAGAACACCTTAAAAAAAATTCATGAAACGGAAGTGGGATGACTGTTAATAATAGTACGTGCATCACAACTTTTTAAGATTAAGACAACCACTTTTCCAGTTGCGACTGTTGTGATTGCGTGAACAAATGACATGCAAGGTTCCAAAACGGTGGAAAGACGCCCCAAGGTGATGTCTTCAATGAGTGGCCACGTACTGTACAAAACCAGTGGGTGTAAGGAGCACTGAGAACAATGACTGCAGAGAAGCATAAAACGAAGCAGTGCTTATGCTGATCCGAAATTTAAATGACAAAGCAAGGCAGGAGCGATAGGCGGGATGCTACACGCTCAAAAACGTCGCTCATGCAGCGCTATCTCAAACAGATGGCCGTATTTTTGGAAAAGAAAGGCCCGACTGAATGAGGCCGATGAGACATCCCCTCTACCCTTCGCTTCATCTCCTTGAAGAGGTGAACTGAAGCAAAGAGGAGAGAGGCGTGGCCGCTTGCTCTCATCCTCAACAGTTCTGGGAGAATCGCAATGTCACATTCCTCCTTCAATGGCACCCTTATTTTTCCAAAAATATGGCAAGCTGTTCGAGATACTGCTGTACGAGTATATTGTGGGGCTTCTAGCATCCTGTTGGAACACTTCTGCAGCCTTGTAAATCCAAATTTCGGTTCAGCATCCTGTTTCACAGTGCTAAATTGGCGGTCGCGTAAAATCGGAGAATTACACAAAAACAGTGCATAGGAGGCTAAACCGCAGTAATCAGTGGTATCATATACTCCTTAAAGAAGAAAACCGCCCTCTCAATTACATCTCTGAAAAATACTTCATCAAAATGCACAGAAAAAAGTATGTGCGTGTGCTCGTCTTGATAGACAAAGAAGTCTGTGCTTCGAATCTGAGCAATACCCATTTGCACTTGCACCTGGCAATAATACCTGCTTGTTTTCTTAAGCATATGATTATCACTGTTCTTCATCATCTCTCTGCTCTTGAAACCTTGCATGCCATCTGTGCACTTTACCTCAATCAATCGACGTTCACAACAGTCGCAAGTGACGATCCCGTCAGGACTTGCCCCAACACATGGGTCTGACTCCATTATCAGAAGCCCGCTGTCTTGGATCGTGAGGTTGGCGTGGGTTGACTCCTGCAAGTACTTCCTCTTGGCAGTGCTTTCGTCTTGCGACCCTCTTGCCATTGCAGCTGACTGGAAGGTCGACTCTCGCATGAGGACCTTGAACAAGGGACGCAAATCATGGGGACCCATTTTTGTCCTCAAGGTCTTCACCCTCGTGTAGACGCTGTAGGCCACAGATGCACTAATCAGACCAGTCCTGTATTCCATCCATATTGGCGATTCTGCTTGTTGGATGGTAAGTGTGGCAATCTCTTCCACAACAGCCTTTGAAAACATTTCTTGGAGGGCTTCGTAGAAGCTGTCATCAGATGCTTGATTATCTCTGCTCATCATTCTTAATGCCTCGGTTAGTGTCGCTGGCCTCTGTGGTGGGGATGGCGACTCCTCTGGCTCGATGCACTGAAAAGCTACAAGACAAAATCATGACACAACTTTATTCGTCCCAGCTTCTCGCAAAGGTACGTCATTGTCAAGCAGTAGGATACATCCCACTTGAGAGAGGGTTCCATTCTCGGTCCCTAGTTTGAGTATTTCAGCATAATTAATTTATATATATTTCAACAAAATTTATCGTGTCCACACGAAAGCATACGCAGCACATCACAGTTAGTGGTTTTTACCAATGAGGCTCGACTATCGGGGAAAGGAAACAAGCAAGCTCGATTGCTGGTCCTTCAAATTAAAGCATATCTATGTGTGGCAGTAAATTCATTGCATACCTTGAGGGTCAACTTTTCCTAATATTAGGCTTTCCCACCTCTCATCCCTTGTATAGATAAAGCACCTGGGCCTCTACTGGTATATGGTGGCTTACCCCTAGTAGCTACCACCAGCACAATAATTGAAGATCTTGGGTGAAAATTATTACTTTGCAATTTTTGAGCTAAGCAAAGCAAAGGAAGTTTTCACATTCTGCGTCACGGAAAAAAACAAAAAGAATTGTGGCGTTCTCATGAAGAAGCAAAGACCACGAGGTTAGGAGATTCGGCGATGACGGAATAGGACGGGTGGGCTTGGCTGTGACCTGGAGATCAGTGACTCTCAGCAACAAGCTGAAGAGCGACAAGGAATTTCCTGTACCTACCCATTCCCGGCGCCGGCCCGAACGGACACTGTGAGGAACCTCTGCACCCCCCTACTGTTGGCAATGATCCGAGGCAACCCAAAGCATGACCAGAGTCCCTCCCCTCACACAGTGACAAGGACGCACATCCATCAATATAGGTTAACTTCCGTTGAAACATATTCACTGAAGTGGTCGCCTGAACGATGGATGTGAGTACCCACATCTTGTAGGTATGTAAATACTTGAGCACTGACATGTCATATTTTATTAATATACATTTATTTACTCTTCCAACCACATGCATACTTTTCTTTCACTCTTGTGGTTGGCCAGAGTAAATGTATATTAATAAAATATGACATATCAGCGCTCAAGTATTTATATATCTACTAGACATCGCTAAATTCTCACATATATCGTCCAGATGACCACCTCAGCCAAGATGTTTCAGCCGAAGTTAATCTATACTGCTGGATGTGCGTCCTTGTTACTTTGTGATGGGACCCTTGTCGTGGTTCAGGTTGCCTCGGGTCATTGCCGAGAATAGGTTGGTACAGAGGTTCCTCCCGGTGCCAGTTCGGGCCACTGCCAAGAATGGATACGTACAGGAAGTTTCTTGTCGCCTTTCGGGTTGTTGCCGAGAGTCATTGATGCTTCTCCGGGTCATAGCCAAGTCTACCCGTCCTATCGGTCATCGCCGAATCTCTTGTTCTCATGCTTTTCGCTTCTTCACAAGCATATCACACTTCTTTTTTGTCTCTTTCCCTGACGCGGAACATGACAGGGCGCTTACCCATTATTCAGAATGATCCAAGTTAATCTATCCTGCAGACAACACTATAAGGAGCCCATATTGGTCATGTTTTTTTTGTTTTCCCAACAGATTCAAAATGTTTTCAGAGTAGCTCAGAACTGGCAATGATGCAACTGTTCCTTCAAGCTGTCAATCAGTATGTGGCAGCTGACAGTCGTTCTTTAAGCTAAAACTTTTAGACTGCAGTGTAATTCCATAATATTTTTTTCATTATAGGTGACTGCTAAATGTTACAGGCACAATACCAACAATCAAAGTAATTTGTGGACTAACCATGTACGGGGATTTCCTCGCGGTGACGGTGAGCAGCAGAGCGATATGGGAGCCCCTGCAGTAGCTTGCCCAGGACGTCTCCCTCCAGACTTGCGTCACTCGCTGTCTTGATCTAGAATTTCGAATAAGGAAGCACATTAGCCCTGGATTGGGTTTACTGCCAGGCAAGCACTGTCCAGTTTAGTTGGTGTTGCGTGACCTTGGCCCTATAAATGGAGTTTTTCTATCAACAGTAAATGTCACTGGCCACACACACACAAAAAAAAAAACAGTTCATGACATATGAAGGAAAACACAGAATTGCCAAACTCAGCAATCAGACTCACTATTGGCCTGCGATATGCACCACAAGCCACTCGTGCTATTTCCAGTCGCAGCATCCATGGCAGGCACTTATCACGGCGGCCGTTGAAGTGGCACGTCTTGCCAGATTCTGAGGCGAGCACCATGTTGCAGAATAGCGGAAGAACAGACGTGCCTGTAAGCAGTCGGAGAGGCATGCGCTATATGGTAGTCGAAACCAGGCGAGCCATCGGCAGATGGCGCAGAGATACGCCTCAATTGCGGCTCGCATGTACTGGGCATTTGTGCCTACATTACTTCCTTGCTGCCTCTTAGAATTACCATCCACTGTAGTATGCTGTATTCTTGCACATACATACCTTCTTTACGCAGGGAAGCTCAATGATTGGCCTGGGTGCATACTTGTCCTTCACACCCTGTTTTTGACTTTTCCCCCACTGCTGTGGCAGGTCGGTCGACGACAAGATTTCAAACACCTTTGTGGCATGGATGTACAGGAGCATGGCCACAATGTGTTTGCATTTGTAGCTCCTAAAAATGAAAACAGTGCTACTGTGAAGTAAAGCCTTTACAATGAATTTCTGAGATATACAAAATCGCCAAAAGCACTCTTTTTGAAGCAATGAGATGACATCCTGCTTCCATGTTTACCGTGTTTACATACAAGCCTTAAAATGGTATGGTATAAATTATGGCAGTGGCAGAAGTTAGCGGAAGGTATGGCTCCGACGCACTGATGTCTGCACCACCTTCTCCTGGCATCATGGGTTAATGTAAACCTTTCCCGCACGTGTTTGTCAATCTTCTGGCTTGTCCGTCCGTTCCGTTCCCCCCCCCCCCCCCACACACACACACACAAAAAAAAAAGGGTCGTAGAAGCTGGCATTAGTCACACTATTCACAGAGGCACCCATGAGGAACCATAAGCCGAGCAATGTATAGTTGCCCTTTCTAGCTTAATTTGTATGATCAACATAACATTAGACTGGTTTCCTCCAATATGTTTGTAATTCGCTTGCATCGAAGTATCGTTTTCATTTTAGCAAGCTCCACTGAAGGTTCATGCAATGGGGAAGTTGTTGCAGTCCAAGCAATTGACTTTTGCCAGTTTTCAGAATGAAATACTCGCACGCTCTGCCTCAGCGGAGGAACCCCCTCTCGAAATATTACCCCTGCGGGACGAGCATGCGAGGTATGTTAGCGTACATTCTACATTAAAAGTGTCCGGAAAGGGAACTTCCGAAAGCAGGGAAGATCAATTAAGAGTTCACAACATGCGTACCCTGCTTTGCACGAGCATGATGCAGCTGCCACTGTCTTCTCTTTCACCACGATCTCGAGCTCGTGCGGGTCTCTGCTTAAAGCCGATGTTTGCAGCACGAAACCTACAAACGTGCTGTTACTGTCAACTTTTTCTTTAACACTGCACGTCACAACGTGCCCAGCTTCCAGTACGGCTTCTCCCTCGAGCAGAAGTCGAGATGTGGCAAACTCCTGTGCCACGTACTCGTTGATACTGGAGAGGGGAAGCGTCACTGCAAAGGAAAAATAATAATTCAGACTTGGTTCACGCAGTTCCGTACGAATGCTTGGAAACAACTCCAGAGCCGTGCAAATTCCTTACCTTGGACGGAAGCGTCGGTATCGGCGAGCTCCATACCACCACAACGACAACGCGCGCGTGCACAGTTGTCCCCTCACGCCCTGCTGAATGCGAACTTAACGCTGCTAGATTAAAATTAGATTAAACTAATCAGGACCAACAGACAAAGAATCGCCACACGCTAAATCCAGAACAAAAGAAAGTCAGCAAGCAGTACCAGCGCAACCGCGCATCCGCGTTGGACTGCGCGCGCGCTACCAAGTTCTAGGCTTGCTCTCGAACATCTTAAAGCTGGTATCTATCAAGAGAGCTTGGGAGGGGCTGCCGTTCAGTCCCACAAAAGCTCATGACACGTCATAAAATTTTAAAAATAATTATCAATCGTCCCTGCTGTAAACTAACAGAAATGTCTCATACGATTACATATAGCGTCGTCTGCTAGCGTCCTACTGACTAGGTTACAGAAAGCATCCGCGAGGCGGCGCCACCCAAAGATCTCGTCGCCAATACAGGAGATGGCGCTGCGGTCAAATGCTCAACTGCGTATATAACCTCGATCCATACAACACATTCTCTTTCTGACATGGACCGTTGACTTAAGCGGTGGAGATGCGTTCCCCCCTCTTCTAGCGGATCCAAGCTGATCCGCTAGAAGAACCACTGGCTCTGCATTTCCCCCACCATTAAGCAGTAATAATGAAGTTGAAACGCAATCCGGAACTCCGCACCACCTATGAACAATAAAATCAGTATCATCAGCACCACCACAGCTTCGCCGCAATGAACATCATTCACCACGTGGAGATGCGGCCACATTTTTTTTAAACATAAAGTCACGAGCAAAACAGAAACCAAATGTATAAAGCAGGCGAGCTCCTTAAGGTTCCACAGGATTCTAAACCGGCAAGGAACGGACGACAAAGGGACAAACACACACATTTTCCAGCTCATCACTTTGCTTCACTCATAAAGATTGAGACGTGTGTGTTTGCGCCCTTGTCGTCCGTTAGTTTCTGGTTTAGTATGGTGTGTACCAAAAATACTGTTTTGAAGTCAACGCCTCGGTATAGACGTTAATGTCGGTTTCACACCTACCGACAAATGTGTCTCAGAACGTAGTTAGTGAGTTAAATAATATTTTGAGGCACTTAAAGATGTGATCTTAAAAGTCATTCCACTTTAGATGTGTTAAACGGGTAGATCATTCTTTAAATCGAACACTCGTATGTTACACATCGAGTTTTGCGATTTTTAGAGATCCATCCCTACCGAAAAACCCAGTATAACGTTTCTCTATCTGGATTATAAAACTAGACATCTACATGGATTCTATCTGGATTTCATGTTTGCAGAAGTTATTCACTTGGCATCACGCTGCTGTTACCTGATGACGTATTTTATGATCATCCTTCGGGCACAGCACAACGCCGCCGACGCCGCTTGTTTCTTAAGTATTGTGAAAAGTGAAGTCGTCCTAGAGGTATAGGACGACTTCTAGGATGACCGCAAGGATGACGCCAAGGCAATGGGACAAGTAAGATCGCTCGATGAGCGGAGCGAGCCGCTCAATCGTATATACATTTATCGGTTTATACGACGCTTTTTCGCTCATCGGGACAAGTAAGCCTTTCGCTTCAAAACATGTTTTACGAATGCTGTCTAAAATATTATTAAAGTGTTGTTTACGAAGCGTCTAAATCTCAATCTTGTGCTCTTGGAAAAGTCCGACCATAGCTTTATGCAAGACACATTGAAGTGGTCACCGACCACCACTCTTTGTGCTGGCTTGCTTCCCTTAAGGACCTAACCGGACTCCTCGGTCGGTGGGCGCTAAAACTGCAGGAGTATGATTTTAATATCGTCAACAGAAGTGGTCAAAAACATCAAGACGCTGATGGCCTCTGCCGATGTACGCTTACCCTTAAAGGGCCTCTGAAAGGAAAAAAAGAACTTTTTTTTTAACAGTCTGTTGGGACACGCGTGGCACTAAACAAATTTTACGCGAAAAAAAAAATGTTTAGAGCGGTATTCACGGTGATAAATTTATTTGAAATTCTGCACGCAAAGTCCATGACGTCACGAAGTGGTCATTCGCTCAATGAGATGGTAATTCGCTCTTTCCACCTCGACGCGAAGGCGAAACCGGTCCACTTCTCCTCCAGGCGCTCGGCATGCCGAGATGAAAAACAAGTAGAAATGAGGTGACTAGCGACTAAATCGCGTCTCGGGTCGTGAATATTTCTCTAAAAATGTTTTCTTTTGCGTATAATTAATTTTTTGACACGGATGTCCCAACAACACTGTTAAAAAACTTTTTTTTTTCTTTCCAGGGGCACTTTAACACCATTACTACACTTGCACTATACACAAATACCACAGCTTCAATCGCTCCTATTTCCTGTGAGACTTTGCCTTCCGAGCAGCGTGCAGATCGTGTGAATAATTCAGATACTCTCCCACTTGAGAGGCAGCAATCCGTTCAAAAGTTGACGTTTTACTAACAAAGCTCAACAATTGTTTATATTGACGGGATATTGTTTTGTCAAAATTATGATCCACAGGGTAAGCGTTGGCTCCTTGTCATACCTCAACACCTCTGACAAGAGATATTACAAAATCTGCAAGATGAGCCCCCTGCCCGCCATCTCGGATTCCTAAAACCTACACAAGAGTTTGTCATCCATGGGTTCTTTTGGCCCGGAGTGTATAGTGCTGTATTCAAGTGCGTCAGGAGTTTCCAGCTGTGCCAGCGTCGAGAGTGTCCCACATCAACTCCCCCAGGACTTCTCGAACCCATAGCTCCCCCTCATTTACCGTTCGTCGTTGTGTGAGTTGACCTATTCGGACCCTTCCCAGAACTGGATAATTGTGTATATCGACCATCTAACATGTTACGTAGAAACAGCGGTCCTTCCCAACGCTACAGCACCCTAAATTGCTGCGTTCCCGCTGAACCAGGTGATTCTCCGCCACGGAGCTCCACGTACTCTCATAAAAGATCGCGGACGGTCCCTTTTGTCTACCACCGTGGAGGCGCTACTTAGTTACTTACCACTAAATTTCTTTCTCATGTCAAAAAGAACTTGAGATGAACACCAGAATGATGCAATGACGTTACTTCCAAGCCATGTATATTGGAAACTCGGCCGAACACGCGTATCATTCTTTTGAGGCCATGGCGACGCCTTAGACATTCTTTGTTGTTATGGAATCACTATCGACGCTCTTCTTTGTTCACGCAACGAATGCGAAAAACAGTACGGCCTTTCGACACGGGCTTCTGGCCGGGGCCATTTTCAGTGTTCGTGCGTATGGCATGCACGTGATGTGTTTGCCTTCAGAAGCAACAAACATGCGCGTCCTGGGCTGTGGAGATCGCACGCTGGGCTGTAAATTTTTAAAAATTGAAATGTTGGATAAATTGAGCTCTAACTCTACTGCTGATATATGCCGCAGCACACAAGACGACCAAGAAAATGACCAAGATCTGGAATGGGTTATACAAGCCAACGAAGCCAAACCAGCGCTGAGAGCCTAAAGACTCTGGTTAAAATTCACGCCCGACGTTTCCAAGTACGGACAACCACTGTTGTGCGAACATTAGAGACACGGCCACGAAAGATTGCTGCACTGCCATTGGCTTCCAAGAGCCTCGTGTGGCACAGGCATTGTGTACTGGCGCATTTGACGTTGCTTGCAAGGCAAACACAAGCACACCAAGGGACTTTGCTGAAAGTATATGCCTTTTCCGCTTGGTCTCGGGGATCAAAAACCACGGTGTCGTGTGCATGTTTTTATGACTGGATTGGTTGGCATAGCTGATGAGATCGGCCGCGGTCTATTTGAAAGTAAAGGCGATGGGCGCGGCGGTAAACAATGCAATTTGGACGTTGCCATGGCATCACTACGTCGTACATCCGTTGCCTCTCATTGATCCCATTTATTGTGCGTCGTAGCCGACATAAATCACACGACGGGAAAATCTAGCCGACATGCAAAACTAGAGTGCCTCAATGTCCTTCTGTTGAGGGTGAGGCCATCGTTCGTAGAACCTGATGACGACAGCACGCGCTCACATGGAAAATAGAAAAGTTGCAGGAAACAAAATGTCGCTCTAGCACAGTCAGCGCCACGAACGCGTGCAGGGACATGCTTTTTCACGCGCTTCAGAGCAAAGAAATAAATATAAGAGTTCAAAAAAAATTGGTAAGGTGTCATCACCCCATGCCACCGAGCCCCGAAGCAAAGTGCACATAAAGGCACGCTAGGCAAATCCGATCCTAGCAGCAAACGCGTGCCGCGAGCCACCTTTCGTACGAGCTCGAGAGAAGAAAACAACAGCAAATGCTCTTGCAGCTTGATTCTGCTGTCGCCATCTCGTTGAACTTAATGAAAAAGAGTCTGTCCCGTCCAATTTATTTACACAAATACTACAATACGCAGGGTGTTTCACTGAAGGTGGACAAATTCGATATTGCGAAAACTACGCGTTGCACAAAAAAAAAGGCTTGTGTCGTTTTGTTTTTAGGCCAGGGGCCCACTTAGGAAAATGATTAAAGTTTGAGATAACTAAGTTGTTAATTATTTTCGTGTAATTAATCTTATAGATATTGAGCTTAAGGACATGGTTTAATTTCGAAACTTGCTGAGCATCATTGAAACACACTAAATAAGAGAATTGAAGTGCGATAGAAGACACCCCGATAGAAAAGACCATAAATAAAATATCATGGTCCATCAAACTTTCTTGATGGTTCGTCAAACTTCTCTGATGGCCCATCAAACTTCCCTGATGGCTCACCAGGCTTCCTTGATGGTTCACCAGACCTTCTTGATGGCTCTTGATGGTCTATCAGACCCTCCAAATAGACCATCAAAGAAATTTCGATGGTCCATCATACTTCCTTGACGGCGTCTGATGGACCATTGAAAACGTCTTCTTGGTTCGTCAGTTGCTCCAATGGCACCTGATGGTCCACCAGACTTCCCTGATGGACCATCCAGAGCGTTAGATGGTCTGTCAGGTACTTTAGTGGCAGCTAATGGTCCATCAAACCTCCCTGGTGGACCATCACAAGCGTTTGACGGTCGGCCAGAAGCTCATAACTGCATTTGATGGGTCGTCAGACCATCAGGCGATGGACCATCAGAAGTGTTTTGTACCATCAAATCGCATTTATTTATTTATTGCATGTTGCCCCGCAGTGCCAAGAGGAATTATTTCAGGGGGAGGGGGGTGTAGGTGTGAGAATCCATTTGCACAAGAATTACGGTCGTCAGATACAGAAACATACAAAAAAAAAAACAAGTTCGCAAAAAAATTGTGTTGCTTTGACAAAGTATAGGCATTTCCACGATTTATATTCTGCGGTGGCTGTTATATGTGACGACAATATTTCATCAGTCGTGGGCGCGCGTTGTTGCAGTGGTTCTGAGCGAGTGCGTATTCCTCTGAACTCGATCGCATGCATGCTTAAACCAATCGCATAT